TTTTCTTGTTGTGGTCTGGTGGCTGAAATGATGAGTAAAAGGCAAGATGCTGTTTTAATTATGATTTAAGTTTAAATTTACTAGTTATTTCACTTTTGCTCTCATTTATTATTTTAAGTTCTTAATTGCTGTAAAATAATTTTGTCAGTCTCTTCTTCCCTGCTGAATTGCCTTTCATTTTAAATATAAGTTTATCAAATGCCTCCCTATATCCTTAAGTCTTAACTCAGATTCACAGATCCAGGTCGTGTGTATCCATCCATCCATCCTTCGTCAACCGCTTATCCTGCGTACAGGGTCGCGGGGGTCGTGTGTATATTGTATGTAATAAAATCATAGAGATTTCTTTAAATTGTCTGCAATTACTTTGTGTTTTCTCTGCTGCTTAAGTAACTTTTACAATCTGGGGAGGGATTTGCAGTCAAAAGGGGACACACATCTGCGTTTGGTGACTAAACGCAGGAAAAATCCTGCGGAAAAAGATATTACTGGATGGAAAAGTTGCAACAGACACACAGACAACATGCACACATTACACACGAGGCTGCGCTTACACACTGATGAGACAAAGACAGATACCAACACACTTAATCCTCTCAAAGAAGAGTAAGAGATGGGCGAGGCAGGAGAGAGTGAGGGATGGGAGAGGAATCGGAGGGCGGCAGATGGCCAGAAAGACGTCAATCCTTTTCATTCTTCCCAGACAGCATAAGGGGGTGGGTAATTGCAAGTTGGACTGACGTTAGCTTCGGGTCCCTGCACGTCAGAGAGGAGAGCCGAGTTAGGTAAAGAGAAAAGGTGAAATGCTGCAGGTCAGTGCTCAGCTGAAAGCTGAAAATCTGACAATGTGTTGAGGTTTGTTTGAAAATGTGTGAAGTTCAAACGTGATGATTGATTTGAAGTTCTGGCCGATGAAGCACTAATCTGTCCTGTAGCAGGAGAGAGGGCTCTTCCTCCATCACATGACATGGAGATATCACATCTGACAACCCGAGGCAACATGGGGGTCAGGAATTTAATCATTGCAGCCATCGTCATCCAGGGGAGAGTTTGTGTGTGTGTGCACATAATTTGCTAAATCACAGGTTAAATAGATTTTGAAGAATATCTGTGATGATTAACGACTATTTTCTTTTGATAAACCTTAAAAAACAATAGGTACTAAGAGTTATTACAATTAAAATGTAACTTTTTATGAAGATTAAGGTAAAACCAGATTAACATCAATTTCAAGCCTCTCAACGATCTAATAATGTAATTGATCAAGGGGTGCAACTAACAAATTATTTCACTGATTAATCAGACTTTTTTTTGATTAATCAAATTTTGTTTCACAAGTTAACTGCAAAAATAGCCATGGATCACTTTGCATTTCCTTGGAAATTATTTGGTTTTTGGTTTTTGGTTTTCAGTTGGAGGTAAATGTATTAAATGACACAGTGCATTGAAAAGTACTGAAATTTTAATAACACATTTTTTTAACAGGTAGTACTGGCTTGACTTCAAATCACATGACTTGTTTTATTTGCTACCAACGTTGTATAATAAGTAATAATTCAGTGGATTTGTGGTGATATATAATCCATTCAGAAATAGTTAACATAATCTTTCCTCCCTGCCCCAGAAACTAAACCATTACTTTTGTTTTGGATAACATGGAATGACAATAACATTACATAAGTCATCTGGATCATATGGCATAAATTAACATGATCATTTCAAGAGCAAAACATGCTGCGTTTGGTTACTCTGAAATCTTTTATGTCATATTGCTGTAAATCAAATCCACTGCCAGCAGCGGTGAGACACATGTCCTGGTTTGTGCAATGATGTTGTTTTAAAACACAGTCTGACATCTAGAGGCAGGATTACTCATCACATGAAGCAGTGGACGTACACCTTACCACAAAATCCGTACTGACTCTTTTTGACTAATTTAAGAGCAACTCAGACCATAACACTAGAGTAATACAGACTACCCAGTATGCACCACCATCTAATAATACATGCCTCATGATGCTTTTAATAAGTTGTTTAGATTTGAGCACACACCGTCGCATTCTCCCTGACTCACTGCCCAGAGAGTCATGCGGAAGGAATTCAGAAATCCATGACATGAGTGATTAAATATGATCTTTATTAAATACAGTGAGACATATATACTCTATATATAAATATATATACACATACATAGCTACATCTCTCCTCAGAATACATGCAGGTCACACTACATACACACAGTCAGTACAACTTATAAAAGTATATCATATTCCTCTACGTTTGTTGTTTTTTTTGTTTTTTTGTTTTTTTACAGTAAAACTCAATACAAGGTGGCACCAAGGTTTTTTAGCACTACCACCACTATGTCGTTTTAGTTTACAGTAGTGACCGGTTATTCCTCAGACCATACAGAGTACAGTATTAATTCAGTCAGAAGGCTCTGAAGTGTAGTTTGACCTCACCATAGGTACAGAAATGTCAGCTTGCCCTGAGCTATACCGCCTGTGACTTCATATCAATTTTCTCCATACACCTCTGCAGGCTATATCTATTACACTACTACTGTAAGTAAAATGTAAACTGGGTTTGGACCAACTTTACAAACTCTGTCTGCATCACCGTCAGCTAATGAGTGATCTCTTTGTTGTCCACGTCAGCATGAGATCACAGAACCTCATTTCTGCCACAACTGATAAAAGTACAGGGCATCGACACCTGCTGCTCTCAATGTACTTCTAGACGCTATATGTGCAAAGCTATGGCACTGCGGTTCACTTAACACGATCAGATGAATATGCAATGAATGGATTTCTATCATGCATCACCTAAGTCATTCATTAAGGCAACAGTGAAATCAGCAAACAGTCATTACAGAGATTACACAACTACTGTAAGTCTCTGGAATATCTGTCTCTATATTGCAGTACGATCATCAGTTCTTTGTTTATGTTGAGTTTTGGTGTCAGTGTGGCCCAATTTTGTGTCTCTCATATCATTTTCGTTTTTACATTTCAGATTTTTGCATTGATGATTACATTATTAAAAGTAAGATGAGCAAACAGAAATGTGAAATTCAAATTATTTGCCAGTGTAACCTAGATAGTGTTTCAGTCAGTGCACAGCAGATCAGCTGAACATGAAAAAATGTGAACATGAATTATACACAGGCAAGCACACAAGTCTACATACAAAAAGAATAAAGTTTCCAATAATACATGTACAATGACAGAATATTTACTTGGGGTTAAATCAAGGTTTTCTTTAATGTATGTTCCTGTTTTTTCTATATGTAGTATTTACCAGGAAACATCCTAGGAAATGATAGCATTACCTAAAACATTTATTACCTGGTTAATTTGTCTGTATTAATCTTATTTTTCTTGTGGTGCCATATACAGTGGGTACGGAAAGTATTCAGACCCCTTTAAATTTTTCACTCTTTGTTTCATTGCAGCCATTTTCCAAAAATCCAAAAAGTTCATTTTATTTCTCAGTAATGTACACTCAGCACCCCATCTTGACAGAAAAAAACAGAAATGTAGAAATTTTTGCAAATTTATTAAAAAAGAAAAACTGAAATATCACATGGTCATAAGTATTCAGACCCTTTGCTGTGACACTCATATTTAACTCAGGTGCTGTCTATTTCTTCTGATCATCCTTGAGATGGTTCTACACCTTCATTTGAGTCCAGCTGTGTTTGATTATACTGACTGGACTTGATTAGGAAAGCCACACACCTGTCTATATAAGACCTTACAGCTCACAGTGCATGTCAGAGCAAATGAGAATCATGAGGTCAAAGGAACTGCCTGAAGAGTTCAGAGACAGAATTGTGGCAAGGCACAGATCTGGCCAAGGTTACAAAAAAATTTCTGCTGCACTTAAGGTTCCTAAGAGCACAGTGGCCTCCATAATCCTCAAATGGAAGACGTTTGGGACGACCAGAACCCTTCCTAGAGCTGGCCGTCCGGCCAAACTGAGCTATCGGGGGAGAAGAGCCTTGGTGAGAGAGGTAAAGAAGAACCCAAAGGTCACTGTGGCTGAGCTCCAGAGATGCAGTCGGGAGATGGGAGGAAGTTGGAGTAAGTCAACCATCACTGCAGCAATCCACCAGTCGGGGCTTTATGGCAGAGTGGCCCGACGGAAGCCTCTCCTCAGTGCAAGACACATGAAAGCCCGCATGGAGTTTGCTAAAAAACACCTGAAGGACTCCAAGATGGTGATAAATAAGATCCTCTGGTCTGATGAGACCAAGATAGAACTTTTTGGCCTTAATTCTAAGCGGTATGTGTGGAGAAAACCAGGCACTGCTCATCACCTGTCCAATACAGTCTCAACAGTGAAGCATGGTGGTGGCAGCATCATGCTGTGGGGGTGTTTTTCAGCTGCAGGGACAGGACGACTGGTTGCAATCGAGGGAAAGATGAATGCGGCCAAGTACAGGGATATCCTGGACGAAAACCTTTTCCAGAGTGCTCTGGACCTCAGACTGGGCCGAAGGTTTACCTTCCAATAAGACAATGACCCTAAGCACACCGCTAAAATAACGAAGGAGTGGCTTCACAACAACTCCGTGGCTGTTCTTGAATGGCCCAGCCAGAGCCCTGACTTAAACCCAATTGAGCATCTCTGGAGAGACCTGAAAATGGCTGTCCACCAACGTTTACCATCCAACCTGACAGAACTGGAGAGGATCTGCAAGGAGGAATGGCAGAGGATACCCAAATCCAGATGTGAAAAACTTGTTGCATCTTTCCCAAAACGACTCATGGCTGTATTAGATCAAAAGGGTGCTTCTACTAAATACTGAGCAAAGGGTCTGAATACTTATGACCATGTGATATTTCAGTTTTTCTTTTTTAATAAATTTGCAAAAATTTCTACATTTCTGTTTTTTTCTGTCAAGATGGGGTGCTGAGTGTACATTACTGAGAAATAAAATGAACTTTTTGGATTTTTGGAAAATGGCTGCAATGAAACAAAGAGTGAAAAATTTAAAGGGGTCTGAATACTTTCCGTACCCACTGTATATGTGGTTTAAAAAGAGTTGCGAAAACACTTAAAATTTACTTTATTGTGCAGCATATTTTTCACCTTTTTTGACCTGCAGGATTTTTCAAAGATTAGCTTTTATTTTATTTTATTGAGGAAAACAGATGCTTCTGTGAGTCAAATACAATCATGCAAAAGCCTCAGTGTTCATGTATCACATGAAAGGCACAAATTAGGGCTTATGTCAGTGCAAGTCTTTGTGTGCATATTGTGTGTTTGCTCCTGCATCACTCTGCTATCCAGTTAAACAGCATCTTTCCATCTTGTTACTGTCCATTTCTTGATATGAGGCAGTGTTAATCTGAAAACCCTCAGTCCATCCTGTTCTCTGTCAAACCTGAGTTACCAGAGGTTCTTTAAGGTAGAAGTTTAACCCTCTCAGATCACTAGGGGGCCGTCCGGCACAAAGCCCTGCCAGGAGAGTCCCATTGAGTGGAGCGCAGATACCTCTGTTGTTCTGCCAGTACAGGGGGGCATTATCTTCCATGTATTCATGCCCCTCGTCTGCTCCTTCCTCATCTTCCTCCTCTTCATCGTCCCCTCCCTCCTTTTCCCAGAGCGATGTGGCGACATGGTGATACTGGGTAGTGTCCTCACACTCTGTCTCCCGGTGGTAGAAATAGCTGAAATTGGACACGATGACGGGCACTGGCAAAGAGATGGTGAGGACGCCGGCGATGGCGCACATGGAGCCCACCAGCTTTCCACCGACCGTCACCGGGTACATGTCCCCGTAGCCGACCGTCGTCATTGTAACCACAGCCCACCAGAACGCTTCAGGGATGCTGGTGAATGCTGTGTCAGAACTGTCCACCTCGGCAAAGTAGGCTGCACTAGAAAAGAGTATAACTCCAATGAAGAGGAAGAAAATGAGCAGGGCAAGCTCTCTGAGGCTGGCCTTCAGCGTCTGGCCCAGGATCTGGAGGCCCTTGGAGTGACGAGAGAGCTTGAAGATCCTGAAGACCCTCACCAGCCTGATGACCCTGATGAGGGCCAGGGACACGGATGGTTGTGCGCCTTTGTCCTTGGCCAGCTCAGTGCCCAGTGTGACGAAATAGGGAATGATGGCGAAGAAGTCGATGGTGTTCATGACATCTTTGAAGAAGTGCACCTTGTTTGGAGCACAGATTAAACGCATGATGAGTTCAAAGGAGAACCAAAGGATGCAAATTGTCTCCACGATGAAGAAAGGGTCCTGGAAGGGAGTGAAGCCAGGTGGGATCAAGATGGTTTCGTTTGCTATGGTCGGGTGAGGTATGGTGGTGAATTGCTGTAAAACAAAGAATGAAGAAAAAGTGGTTACAGTTGTACTCAAAGATTTAAAAAATGAACGCATATGAGTTGCTCTGCCTAACAGATACTCTGTTGTTTATCAAAGATGAATTACAGAAGAAAGAGAAATATGAGAATAAAGGGGAAAGGTAGGGCTATTAAAAGTTTCTCCATGGAGACGATATTTCCAGGAGAGTAAACAGAGAGAAAACAAGGACGGAGTAAACAGGAGAGGGACATAGGATAAGTGAGAAGAAGCGATTATTATGAAAGTGTCTCCTCAGCACATTTGGAGTATGACATCTGTCATCAGGATCTGATCAAGCCTGGGAGATCTGTGATACTGTGCTAACTTTTCTCCCCTCTCCATTTTCACTCCCATGGCTTTATTTTAGACTTTTATATAAATCAGTTTCTCTATATTTAACCGCAAGCAAAAAACATTAAGTTCATGTGTCTCTGGGTTGCGTTACAGCCCCAGACACCGGCACGACCCGAGGCATCTGACACTTCATTTAACCCGACTGCTTGATTTTTTCTGGGAAGTAGGTGCAGGTTTGAAATGACTGGGCATTAGTGGCTTTTTAACAAGTTAGATAGAGTTACTCTTAAGCTTCGGTGGCCTTGGAGCACATATTGTCCCCACCATTATGTATTTATATGTTTTTATGTCCATCAGACTCATGTCCTCTCGCCTGTGTCCTTTACAGATTTAATTCTACGACTGAGACGGCTCAGATGAGGTTGACCTTGCATTTTAAACGGTCAGGTCACCCAAATGACAAAAGGCGTCTTTTTTTTATTAATGTGATGTAGCCATTGACGTAATTTGATTTTGATATCTTCACCTCTGAGATTTCTGCCATGACTAAAAAATTACACTCAGTGGCCACTTGTTAGGTGCACCTGTAAAAGCTAATGTGATCCAATACATCTGCTCAGCCACAAATTCTAGTTTTAAAAAGATAATAATGTTCAGTTTTGATTGACACTGTCAGTCGGGTGTTAATTCAACTATGTACTACTGAGTTTGTAGTTTGTAGTGGTGTTGAACAGGACTGCATTGTATTGAGAGGTGTTTGTAATGTTTGCCTGCCCCAAATGAGGGGAGAAGACTATTAGAAACACCTCTCAATATGATGCAGTCCAAAACAATACCATTAATAATGGTTGAATAAACACATCTCTGACACTGTCAACAAAAACTGAACATTATTTTCTTCCAAAAGGTTGAATTTGTGCTGAGCAGTTATATTGGATTATGTTAAATTGTATAGGTGTACCTAAGAAAGTCGCCAGAGTTACCTGGACATTACAAAGACATGTGCTGTCTAGTTTTTAGCTATGCTAGAGCCACAGCTGGTCAATGTCTGTCTGTCTGTCTGTCTGTCTGTGTCTGTTGGCCAGACAATGAATGAAAATTAGCACAGACGTTCGTTGTCCCCAGATGATGAATCTTAATGACTTTGGTGATGCACTGACTTTTCCTCTAGCACCACAGTGAGGTTGCCTGTTAAATATTCACAAAAGAATTCCCATCAGCCTCAGTCGTACTTTGTGCTTAGTGCTAATTAGCAAATGTTAACATGATACTAAGATGGTGTGGTAAACATTACACATGCATGTTAGCACGCTGGAGTTAGCATTTAGCTGAAACCATCAAAGTGCCTCACTACAGCCTCACAGAGTTGTTAGCATGGCTGTAGAGTAGACGAACAATGTCTCATTCACCACCATCGCACTGGGGTGATGGTGGAAATCACAGCAGTCAATATGTCAGATTCCTGGCCCATGGACGATGGCCAGATACCACTGTAGGTAAGAGAGGAAACAGACGTGTAACTTGCCATATACAACCAACAAGCAGAATCTAACAAATCAAATTTCGTTGGTTCGATTCTCACCATCATCTGGTGAGTGAGTGAGTGGGGACAGCTGTGCATGTAGATTTGGGTTTGTTTGTGTAGTATCCCAAAGCGTCAAATGCTCTGACAACATGAGCATGTATCTATCTATGTATGGGAGTAATGGAGCGGTGTAGGTTGTGACTGTAAACATAAATCCAGCGAGCACTGCTGCCTGTCACTCCTGCTGCAAAAAAACTCCACAGTCCACCTCGTGTGAGGCTAATTTCATTTTGCGGTGGTCATCAGAAAGGTTGATCTGCGAGCCACTTTTCCATGCTGTTTTCAGTGTGTAGCCTATGAGTCACGTTTATTAATACAGACATTCGTTTACGTGTTGATGTGCTGTTAGGGTTATCCTTCCTCTATATATAGCCCTTTAGATCTCCAAGGGGTAACGTGAGACAAGCTCCCCTCCTTTCCTTCCCTTCACACTTGCCTCTTTACCTCCAACTCCTTCCACTCTTTTTCTACGTAGTCCTTTTGATATGGAGTATCCACTCAGCCTGAATGTACTTGTTGGCTCTGGCAGTCATTCCTGAGTGGCCGACAAGGCATATCATCTCTCCCTCCTCTAACAGTAAACCTCCAACCAACCTGCCTTCTTTCTTTACTCTTATTTTTCCACCAGCGGTTTTACTGCCCTCCTCATCTCCCTCATTCCTTTCCCTCAATCTGAGTGGATCAGATTTAACGACAAGTCCAAAATAATCTCAGGAAAACTATCCTCTGCTGCCTTTGCTTTCCCCTTTCCTCAACCTTGATTCTTAACTTTGATGGCTTTTTCCCCATCCCTACAAAAGTTTTACTCGCTTCTTTCACTCAGTGTTGAGAGAGGAGATAAAGATGTGCTGCAAGAGCTGGTCTATGTTTGGCAATGTGACACTTGTCAGCACCTGTGGTCCTTCTACGTTCACCTCGTCACTTACTCCCTGTGTTAACCTCTCTTCTCTTTGCACCCCATCACCTTACTCCTTCACTCAACTGGTTGTTTCTTTTCATTAAATGAATTTCAACTGACATAACCTCCCTCTGCAGCCTTGTGAATCCTCTCTGTTTCTCCCCATCACTCATAGGTAGCTTGTATGTGTCAGCGCCATCCTCACCTCCCTCTGTTCCTTCTCATGCCTGAACTCAGGGAGGGTCTCCAGGCAGAAGATGAGAATGGAGATCACAATGACCATGACGCTGATGATGGCGATAATCCGAGCTCCACCGGAGGACTCCGGATACTCAAACAGCATCCACAGGCGACGCTGCAAATCATTGGTGGGTAAGGGACTCTCCTCCTCCTTGGGGAAGCCTTCATCTGCTTTGTAACGGTCAATGATCTCCTCGCTGAGCTCGTAGAAGCGTAGCTCCTCCAGGAACATGTCCAGAGGGACGTTGACAGGCCTCCGCAGCCTCCCGCCTGACTGGTAGAAGTACAGGATGGCATCAAAGACCACACGGCTCCTGTCCAGGAAGAGTTCGTTCCGCAGGGGGTCGAAGTAGCGAAGACGCCGCCGGGGGTCACCCAGCAGGGAGTCGGGGAACTGAGCGAGAGTGCGGAGCTGGGTCTCGTAACGCATTCCTGACACATTGATGGCCAGGCGTTCAGTCAGAGCCCAGCCACTCCTGCAGCGACGGTTCTCCCTACTGATCTCTCCTCTCGGCTCCTTCTTACTGCTCTCCTTCTCCAGCTTGTCTTTGGTCTGCTTGTCTTCATCACCAACCTCCTCAGATTTCTGTTTTTCTTTTGTCTGCTCTCCTCCTCGTCCTCCTCCTCCTCCTCCCTTGTCTTGACTATCCATCTCTCAATATTTGATTTTTTTCCTCTCTGTTGAATCACTCTTTTTGTCTCTTTGCTCTGGAGAAAAAACAAATCAAGGTTAACTTGGCAATGCAGAACAACAGACCAACAAACATGAGTAGATAAAAGCACTAGCACAAGATAATACAGTGGAAACCTCTTATAGTGATCACATCAGTCCGGTTTGATCACTATACACGGGTGATTATTATAACCTCTTTTTTTCTTTATTTCTCATGCGGATTATTATCTAATTGACATTTGCACATTTATTTCATGAATAAAAAGTAATGAGAGGGACAGCTTCACTATTTACTGAATTTTACAGTGTTTCAAAATACAGTACAGCGGTTTCAAACACTTTTGACACTGTCAAATTACTGTACAAATTAAATTACTGTGTATAATTCAAATACACTATACAGTTATACATTACTGTACTGTATATAAAATATAGCTTACTGTAGTTCAAATTACACTTAGGCTGTAGCCTAAAACTGTATTGTGCTACTTACAAATACATCAGAAGTACAAACAGGCTACTAAGCCACAGCTTGAAGGTGCTTTCAGTGCATTTCTAAATTTCTATCAGCCTCTAGGCTATAAATGCTGAACTGGTAGCATAGTTTGAAAACAACGTATTCATAAAATATTCTGATGTTTCTAGATGTATGAAAATACCCAAAATGTAACTCTGTAAGCTGACTACTTGATTACTATAAGCTTTTTGATCCGTATAAGCGATTGACCACCGTAAGCATGTGTGCAAGCACCGTAATCACTTTTAGCGGTTTCTACTGTGACTAAATTTTCTTTTCAAAAATACTTTTTAATCACCATTTTTGTGCATAAAATTATATTTTTGTTGTTTAATTTTGTCCTAAAATCCATGAATTGTGTGATGGTAAGAGTGAGTAGAAGTGTACTACAATAAAAATAATGAAAATGCTGACCATACCATTAAAAACAAAGCAGAATTTCTATGCAACTTTCCAATTTTAACATTAATTTGTTGATTTTTAATTAGTAGATGCAGTTTTTAAGCTTTTTCCACCTTATTCTGATATGACTGTAAATCACACCATGCAAACACAAAGCTCCACACATGCAGTCGGCTGCATGCTCATCACCAGTTTATCACCATGTCCAGTGCACCAAGGCATCTCACCTGTCTGCCGGCCAGAGCTGCCTATTCTAACTAACACATCCACAGAGTGACCATGACTCTCCTATTGTACCTTCACCTCAGGGTGCCTTTTAGGCTGAACCTTCTCTTCCTCTGAGACAGTTTGTGTATCAATTCCCTTATCATGATGTCAAGACAACCCCTCCTACTCCTCCATATCGTCCAACCTTCGTGGGTCGTGTTTGGGAGGGGAGGGGAGGCAGCAGAGGGAGCAGTGTGGCTCCTTCAGGGGCTGTTGGGGTGTTAATGTGCAGAGCGGGTGAAGTTAAGGCAGTTAAGCTTGTTTGTAGGTCACTCACTGTCTTCCCTTGTGCTCTCTCTCACGCTCAGAACGCCCCCCAGGAATGCTGTCGGGCCGAAATTCAATCTTCGACTACTTTTTCTGCCCCCAACAACCTTCCTTGCCCCAAAATGTCAACCTCTTAACCCCTCACTCTTACTTAAACATACTGTACATGTTTGCACTCATGGGTGCACATGAGCTTTGACATAGCTGTGGCCAAAACTATTATGTTAAAAAAAAAATGTGGTAGTTAAGATCATAATTTACACTCTGGGATGAGACCGCAAACATGTGGTTACTATTTTTTCATGTCGCCTCTAACTGCTTTGTGGTCATCATGTATTTTTATATTAAAACAATTGGCTTGTGCAGAATTGTCCACAAATTTAAAACAGGGGAAAATAAGAAATGGCAAATGAAAACTGACCTCCAACTATAAATCTGTCTGTGGTTATTTTAGACACAATTATGAAGTCTACACTCAGGCATTTCTGTGTGGCCCTGTGTCTGCATGACATAAAACTACAATTCCCATAACAAGATTTTATGACACAAGAACTTCGCAAATGGTGCCTTCAAAAACCCAGAGTAAATTCCCATTTCTGACTGACAGCAGCCCATATTAAATCAACAAGAAATTGGACACAAGTCAAGTAACATAAAGCTGTTATTAAACTTAGTCCGGCCTAATCAGTGTCTAATTTAAAACACAAGTCTTTTATTTGATGTTTTATTTTTAGCCATGCAAGCTGAAATGGCTCTAGGAATAGCAATATCCTCAAGTGGTCAGCCGGTTGTTCGGTTATTCACTTAAACAACTATTTGATGGATTGGTGTAAGATTTTGCACAGAGAGTTGGTATGTAGATGATTAATCCTAATGACTTTGGGTGACACGTTTTCACTTACTATTCAGTGAAATATCTCAACATTTACAGGATGGATTGGCACAAAATACTCATGTTCCCCTCAGAAGGAATTGTAATCAATTCAATGATCCTCTGACTTTTCATCCAGCGCCATCATCTGGTTAAAATTTTAAATTCAAAGATCTGCAAAACTTTCCCATCATCATCAGCTGTACTTTGTGTTCATAATGCAAATAAGGTGACAATATTCCTGCTGATATCAGCATGTTTGCATTGTCATTGTGAGGAGCATGGTGACTTTAGCCTTTAGCTCAGATCACCACTGTGCTAGCATGGCTGTAGACTAACTGGTGTCTTTATTTAGCAGTCATAAAGGTTTTATGTCATTTTACCATGTTATGTTAAAAGGGCTTTAATTTTCTTCATATAAAGTTCACAATTTGGCGACTAAATGTCCACTTTCCGGTTCCCCCCTTTACTGGCAGTTTTATGTGAGCTTTGTGATTTCCAATATTTCCAATAGCGCCTGAAGGCAGCAGAGCAAACCCCATGATTTTCAGGAACTTTGCTCTTTAGACACAAACTGCGTTTATAAACGCGGGGGTTTATTTGAGAAAGTGGATGAGACACAGACGTGCTGTGAAGAATTAGACCCAGGAAAGTGCAAACATTAATCATTCCTCGTGTCCTGCAGGGCAACAGGAACGCAGTTTGACAGCCGCGCGGATTTGCAGGGTTTTTACGACCAGATAAATCATCATCATCATCACCATCTCAGCCAAAATGTCCCTCCGCTACCACGACAAAGTTGTGATTGTCACCGGAGGATCCAAAGGGATTGGCAGAGGAATTGTCAAAGTGTTTGGTATGGTAATGATCGTTATATTATGTGGATTTGTTTGTGAGCGAGCAAGAAGTGGCGCACTGAACATTTTGCGTCTTTTTTTTTAGTGGAAAATGGTGCTAAAGTGGTGTTCTGTGCAAGAGGAGGTTAGTAATATTGTTTTTATTCAGTTTTTTTCTTCATTAAATCCTGTATTAATTAAGATAATGTATCACTATTGATATATTATCTTATTATCTTAGTTGTATTGGATTGATATGACTTTAAATTGTACACTAGATGCATGTTATAAGTACAGGAGTAGGCTATATATTTCACCATAATCCCACATGTATTACAGGTGCAGTAGGTGAAGCTCTCCAGGCACAGCTAAACAAAACAGGGCCAGGCTCATGCAAATTTGTCACATGTGACGTCTCCAAAGAAGAGGACATCAAGGTAAAAGTGCATCTTTAGTGTTACAACTTACTGGTCTGGTTGAACATAGATTTACAGTTCCTTTATGAAATGGACAGTCTTGTCATGATCATAAGATCTGACATGTCCTGTTTATCCCTTGATTTTACCTCAATGCCAAAAGACCCAGATTTATATATTATGAAAGTAACTTATTTAAGATTTGTATCTGTCCAGCCTGCTACACTAGACTGAGAACAGTTGTAAAACTACTGTTGTTGTAAAAGAACTTTGACTCGACTCCAGGACAGTTCTGTGTTTGCTTGTGCTTCTGTTTGCTTTCCTGGACAAAGTGCTTTCTGCTGCTTTGGTGGTAACTGGTTTCACTGGCCTGCGCCTCGTTGAAATGCAACTGTTGTGACTGTGTCTCCACAGAGACTGATTGCTGTCACAGTGGAGCATTATGGACACATTGACTGCCTGGTCAACAATGCAGGGTGGCGTGAGTCTCACAGCAGATGATGAGCTTGGAGATGCTTCTGGTGGTACACACTACATGCATGTCTTGTTTCCCCTCTTCAGACCCACCTCATAAACCTACTGATGACACCACAGCAGATGAGTTTAGGGATCTGCTGAATCTGAACCTCATCAGCTACTTCCTGGCTTCTAAAGTAATGTTTCCAACTTGTGTTGTGTGACACTTAAAATGGGTTAATAATGGGCAAATAACTTTCTCCCATAAAAGCTGACCCCTGGAAGCAAATAAAGGCATACAAGGATTTGACTCTTTTAAGCAACTAAACACCTTATTGTACTGAATACTTTTTGAAATTGTACAGCAGAGAGATGATGGGAAATCAGGATGAGAGAGATGCAACTCCCAACCTGGATCCAAACCTTGTTGCTGTAACCCCTAAGCTACAGGACCCCTGTACTTTTACTTTGAAAAACATCTATCTGAGTTTATGTGATGTGAATTCCTCTCTTTTAAATTTCCAGTTGTGCAATTTTCAGAAATGGGATGTATTGTATTGACTATTAAGGGTTCAGAAATTCTGATTCAGACAATTCAAATGTTAAATGTTGTTAATCTATTCAGATTGCTCAGAATACATTGGTCCTTTATTAGATCTAAAAATTCACATTGTCAAAATGTCAGCTGCTTAACCCGGATAAGTGAAACCAAAATTCAAGATAAAAACATTCAATACTTGAACATTCAGGAACCAAGGACAACCAATCAGGTCTGAATAGAATTGATAAGAAGAAGGTGACGTTTTGTCAGTCACATGATCCAAGGAAGATGTGTTGAGTGACTGGAAACTCTTAAATTTTAAATCTGAATTTGTAAGGTTTTTGAAATTGCAAGCTTATAATTATTATTAATTATTAGGCAGGGGAAATTAAACTTGTGTTGTTATCAGTTGCTTATAAAAATTAAAATTATTATGACCTTTCTTTGCTTCCATTGACCTCTGTCACTCACTCATATACACATATTGTATGTATAAAGCATCTTTGAAGTCATTGAATGTCTCACTCTCTCTTCAGTATGTGTTGCCGTACCTGCGACAGCGTCAGGGAAACATCATTAATGTTTCCAGTCTGGTGGCCACCATCGGTCAGAAAGATGCTGCACCGTATGTTGCCACCAAGGTGAGTTAATCTTCCAGGCAACAAGTGTCCACTTTTCATTATTCCTTCAATCCCAGCTTTAGAAGTAGTCCTGTAATGTGATGTTTTCTCCACAAGGGGGCGATAATCTCAATGACAAAGGCAATGGCTGTGGATGAGAGTCGCTACGGAGTCCGAGTCAACTGGTGAGACAAACTGGTTTGTGTGTTCAGTCCGGTCTATGGTTCAGTCTGGTTTCTTCTTCAGCCTTCTCCTCGCTTAGATTACTGATTTTACTCTCACTACTTGTAGGCTACATTATCTGGGAAATTTCCTTTTGGCATTACATGACCCCTATGTTTAAAGGGTCTGTAGTAGTGCTGTAACTATTATGTTTGTTTATTTATTTAAGTCAAGGCAAAGAATTACTGTAATAAATAGTTGATATATTTTATTTATTTTTATTAACTTGTTAACAGTGGTGAAATAAGTATTCAGATTATTCACTAAAGATAAAGTACCAGTAATCAAAAAAGCAATCAAAACAAATACTTAATTTTGACTGAAAGAATTTACCTAAAGTATTAAAAGTAAAAGTACTCATTATGCAGTAAAATGTCCCCTGGGACTGATCTATTATATATCACTATAAGATTGTCAATACTGATGCATCAATGTCTAAATAGTATTTTACTGTTCTAGCAGCAGTTTTTACTAGTGTGGACACAGTTAGTTTTAACTTCTTTATATACCGTTAGCTAGTTTTTACTACTTTATATACACTGCTACTTTATATAGGCAGTTTAGTCTAGTGGTTCCCAACCTAGCGGTTGAGCCCCTCCAAAGGGTCACAGGATAATTCTGAGTGGCCGTGAGATAATTAAAGGTTCAGTGTGTAACTTTTAGTGGCATCTAGTGGTGAGGGTTGTGAATTGCAACCAGCGGCTCACGGTTCATTCACCTGTTTCTCGGAGGTCCCTTTTCCCGAGTTGTGAAGTCGTTCTTCTGACTTCAGTGTGTGTTCATGTGCTCTTAAATCAGAATGTGGAATCAACATGGACGCTACTACAAAGATGTGTTGGATTAGTATTATCAGAGCGTATAAACAACACACAGACGTCTAGTTCACTCTACATGGACAGCAAACTAACCTTTATAACCATATTACAAATTACATTTTTGGAAAATATGTATATACCTCACGTGGTTTTGCACAAATTAAAGCGTGTGCAGGAGAAGCTACGGTGGCTGACGAGCTCTGTCGATTCTTGTGCTAAATAATACTTGTGGTGTCTTGTCCAAATTTCTCTTCTTTTCTTACTTTTAATAAGTCAGACAACTACTACTACTACTACAAATGTTACTTCTTCTTCTTCGCATGTATTCAATGTAGGGACGAAAAGCTTTCTGTAGAGCCGTTTGTCTATTTTCAGCATGGTGGCACATCATGGCAATGTCCATGTAAGTGTTTCTGGAGTAACACTGCTCTAACACTACAGTTACATAAATTATGCAAAGCAAACACTTTCTGCAAATATTTAACTGACAAATGTAATAGTACCCTTTATTGTCCAGTAACACTGCGTGCCATGTCTTGTAGCATCTCTCCAGGTAATGTGCTGACACCTCTGTGGGAAGAATTAGCTGGACACACACCAGATGCTGCAGCAGCCATTAAACTGGGAGAAAATTCTCAGGCAAGTTCACACAGTGGAACTAAAGGTTAAAAAAAAAGACATAGTTTATTAGTCATATGCGTGCTGTCATGTGACAGTACATCGTAAGCAATAGTGAGATTTCCTCTCTGATAGTGAAGACTTTAATCCACAAAACATAAATGAGGGAACTCTTGTAAAACATAAATCCTATCACCAGGTCCAATATTAAAGGCTTTGTTGTTCAGTGGCATTGAACAGATAAGTGGTGAGCAAATAAAATGCAGCATAATAATATTAAAGAAAGTTCTCTGTCTGTCACATAACACTGATGCTTCCTGCTGCTGCTTAGATCTTAGATCTTAGATCTTAAGAATTACCCTTGGTAAAGGTAAATCATTATGAGATATCAGAAAGAATCAGAGTTATTGCCATTTAGGTTACATATAACAACATACAAGGAATTTGCCTTGGTGTTCAGCTCCCACTTGAGGCCAGGGGTGTTTATGGTGCCCAGAGTAGCAGAAGCGATGCCACCAGATGGTTAATCTCCCACCTGTAGGCAGACTCATCCCCACCAGAGATTAGCCCAGTGAGGGTGGTGTCATCCACAAACTTCAAGAGCTTTGCTGGAGGTGCAGCTGTTGGTGTACAGGGAGAAGAGCAGAGGGGAAAGAATGCAGAATTGGTGCTGATGGTCCGAAAGTCAGAGACATGTTTCCCCAGCCTCACATGCTGCCTCCTGTCAGACAGGACATCTGTGATCCACATGCAGGTGGAATCACGCACATTCAGCTGGGTGAGCTTGTTCAGCAGAGCTGGCATGCTACTATTGAAGGCGGAGCTGAAATCCGCAAACAGGATCCTGACAAAGGTTCCTGATGGTAAATGAACTGTACTTGTA